GACCAAAAGTGAAATTAATTCTTAAATAAATAAGAAGAATTATAATAGAACAAGGCCATGTAGAGTGCTAATAATTAAAATTATGTGTAAACGTTAGATTAAATTATCACGTCTCGAATTAAATTGTGAAATGTTAGCATAATTTAAGCGTAAATACAAAAAATTAACCCCACAAAAGCAATACATGCTATTTCTGTTAAGGGAGGACCACCTAGTACATGTCACCTGCACGTGCCCCTCCCCCACCCACAACATCTTTTGTTGTTTGCCCCTTACTGATTTAATTATTTGTCCCCTCTTCAAAGAAATGTCAATTAAAAAATTAATTTTGTATTATGAGAAATTGACGTTTCAATATTTCTAAAACTATTGAGAATAAGCAAATCAAATTGAAAAAAATTGTGTAACAAAGGTCTTAATTTAATTCCTTTTTGTACATTACCGTAGCGTGAATTCAATAAAATTTGCAATAACTTTTCTACAGTATGAATGAAAAAAATTTTAAAGTGTCGGATCAACAATGATGTTATGTTATACCTAATACAAACACTCAAGTTTAGCTGACAATACCCATTATAACTCGTTACAGATGCATAATTATACTAGGTATAATATAATGGGTTAATTCCATTTTTGGTCCTAGATTTATAGTTAACGGTCAACTTTTAGCCTTTTTCTCAGAACATTTATTTTTTGTCCTAGTATTATTGTGACATGACCATTTTTTTCTCCTCTATCAACAAAATAATTGAGATTCCCTTAAATCCAAAGGTATTTCGGTCTTCAAAATTATGATTTTTCAAAATAAACATAAAAAAATATAGCGGGTTAACATATTTTGTATAAAAAAGGTCGAAATGTCCTTGTATTTAACGTCATTTTAACGATTTTGTTGACGAAGAACAAAAAATGATCATGCCACAATAATATTAGGATCAAATGAAGATGTATGATAAAAGTAAAATGACACCTATAAATCTAGAACAAAAATTAATAGTGTCATAAAAGTTCCCAATGCTATTCTTTCCAAATTGAGCATCCTATTTCTTTCCAAATTGGCCACAATCAATTGATATTATATTATTTCTCTTGCAAGTTGGATAATATACTATTGAAATATTCATCTTTAACCATACACCTGTATATAATAAAAACAACTTGCCCATGGTCTTATATGTGCTCTCTTTTTCATTTGTAATATTAAATTTATGTGATGCACAATTATTCCAATTAAAAATTAAAATATATTACCTATGGAGTGGAGATGAAATCGCATAGGTTTTTTTTGCACAATCGGAGCAGAAGTCTCTCGTTCAAGTCATTCAAAGTCTTATCCGATACAAACATGATTAGTCTCGATATATGAATAGATCCAAATCCTTTAAAATTTATACCTGTATATGGTTCAAATATATACTTTTTAAGAAAATTTTTATAGTCACAGATTGTCAACAATCTATAAAATTATAATTTATTGTGAAAATTATAGAACATAGATCATCCATTTGGGACCGGTGGGAAAAGAAATGGAATATCAGCCATTTTTCATTTTTGGCAAAGTAAACATTTTTTTTTAATTTTAACAATTCAATGCATTCCATTGACACAATCATATTTAGATATGGTCTGCGCAGACATTATTAGATTTTATATTCAAATACTACATTATATATTATTATTGTTGTCGGATGGAGCCTTAAATAATCAAGTTTAGCAGCATCTCGTTGAGGTATTAACTCTTAAAACATCTTCTTCTCCCAAAAGGTTAAATCCCCAACTCCAAGGGCTCCCCACACTCCGATCCAACAGATCAATTGAGAGGTTGTAAATTACGGTGACTCAATGGTTTAGCAGACAAGACCAAATACACTTTTAAAACATCTAATCTAGTTAATCGTTGATGGGTATAGTTAATTTTTTATATAGACAAAAAAATTTCCCATTAACTCTAATAAAAATGAGATCGTTTTATTATAATTTCTATATAATAACTAAGGAGTATATATTATTCTTAATTAATATTATTTTAATTATGACATCCATGTAATCTAAATAATTATGGTAATTAGGGAGTATATATTATTCTTAATAAAATAATATGTGTATGTTTAATTTCATTTAATTATAAACGTAATATGTGTATATTTAATTTTCTTTAACTATGTCCGTAATATGTGTATGTTTAATTTCTTTTAATTATGTCCGTAATACGTGTATCCATAACCTCCCATTTGGAAGAGACACTTCGTGCCACTACTACTGCCTCACTCCCTGGTACAGTTTGGGTAAGGTAGCCTCACTCCCTGGTACAATTTGGGTAAGGGAGAGGTTGTCTCATCGTGACCCAAACCAACCGGCCCATCGCTAGATTTGCGGCATACAGATTTTCGGTGCCTTGAATATCATTCGTTGTTTCTCTACATCACACAAAACCAAAATCAAAACCGTAAATAAACACATCCATACTTTACGTGCATACAAATTCAAAAGATAGAGTGAAGGAAGATACATACCTACTAGTGAGGAGCTGAGCAAAGAAAACATTGAGACGCCGAGCTTCAATAGTCTATACGGATATAAGCATGCAGATACATTATAATATGATTACATTTATAGAGAATGTATATTTGTAACTTTATTTAGTAACAAAGAGAGAAAGAGAGAATGAGAGAGGTTGTGAAGAGAGATGAAGCCGGAGTCGGAGATAGACTGTCGTCGTAAAAAAGAGAGAAAGAGAGAAACGAAAATACAGAGGGCATAAAATCTTGGAAACGTCATGCTTGAAGGAGAGAGAGATGAACAAGAAGAATATATTGGTATTGGCTTTTAAGCAATTATATAGAAATTAAGGAAGAGAGAGATGGGAAAGGTAAGAAATTAAGGCTCCATTTGAAAATCCGAAAAATGACTTTTGGAAAATAATTTTCGAGTTTCCAGTGTTTGGATGCAATAGAAAAATCAAATCAACGAAAAACAGGTAGCCATTTTAGTGGAAAATGACTTCTGCCAATCATCAATACATGGTTTCCGCCGGAAACCACAATTATTGTGTTTTAAAAAAATTGATAAATAATAATATTATTTTTAATATTATTATAACTATTTGCATATTCTAGATAAAATATTTAAAATGTTTAATTATACAATTTTACCCATTTTCAAAAAATGAACCAAACACACTAAGATAATTTTTCAGAATGCAACCAAACACTATAAAGGAAAATATTTTCTGGAAAATGACTCATTTTCCAGAAAACATTTGTCAGAAGTCATTTTCATGCTTTCCAAACGGACCATAAGAGGGGTGAGGGTAGTTTATGAAATTTGGCTGATTAGTGGGTGGCATGATGGTGTGTGTGTGTATATATATATATATATATATATATATATATATGAAGTAAATCAGGTGCAAAGATAACATCTCGTGCATTTGTGTGGTTAACACAAAAAGATGCACCTTAAGTACACAAACAAAGCACCTTAAGAACACAAACTACACACCTAAAGTTTTAAATGGTGCACATTAAGTACACAAAACACGCACTTTAAGCACACAAACAAAGCACCTTAAGAACACAAAATCACCCACCTAAAGTTTTAAAAAGGTGCACTTTAAGAAGGAAAATCACGCACCTAAAGTTTTAGGCCGACACACCTTAAGTTTCAACAACTGACGCACCTTAAGCACACAAACCACGCACCTTAAGAAAGAAAACCACGTACCTTAAATTTTATCTAGATGCAAAAAGACCAAATTTCCTTCGCATTTTTTTTAAAAATCATTGTTAATCTTGGACGTTGATTTAGGCAAGATCAATAACTCATATTTGACAGCACAACCGCACGAGACACACCCAACCGCACGGGAACTGAATTATACTGCTACGCAATCGCTTCTTATCTTTCTTGGTGACACGAATCGTCTGGCATTTGGGGTTGTCTGCACATTCTTTGTCATCCTTATAATATGATGTTTCCATATCAGGTATTTTGCTAGTGGATGCACCTCCCCGTTCCTGGTTACTAGCCACGACTCCATATAGGTCTTTTGCGCGTCATTTCTCACCTCTATTGGTCTTCTCCAAGTTGTTCCTAACCTATTACTTTCTTTTTTTGGTGCTACGATCAAGCATATCTCGATCTTCTAAACTGTGACACCCAAGGATGGAGCTCATGTTTGTTCGGCCACCGTCAAACAACCCTGTGTGTCTTGGAGCGTTTTTTGCACAATGAAAACTTTGTTACCCATAATAATGTGTAATGCACTTAAGGTATAATTGGGGAGAAAAGATTAGGGTTGAGATGAAGAAAATGATAGAAAAAGAGAATTTTATTTTATTACTCGGCATAAACTTCTTAATACATCCGAAGGGATTAAATACAACGGCAAAATAACCACTCCCTTCTTTACTAGATTTGTAACGGAAGAAGATGTTGGAAAGTAGTGAAAAACGACATCGCCTGATAAGGCTGCTCAACCGATTCCAGCTGCTTACTTAAACGACTCGTTGGACCCTCTTATTTAACAGCTCTCAACTGCTGCTTCATACGACGCCGTTTGCTTCATTTGTTCACGACGTCGTTGGACCCTCTTATTTAACGGCTCTCAACTGCTGCTTCATACGACGCCGGTTGCTTCATTTGTTCATCTTGCCTTTCATGTTGAACCATCCTCTTCCCTCCTCTTGACTTCCTCCCTTTCCTACCACCTTCACCACCATTTATGAATCCTTCAAGGGCTATTACATAATGTTTTACTCCCTATTAAATTTTGATTCCAATTTATAACTACTACCACCCTCAGAAATGGTGGCAGTAAAATCCACAGCACGTACTAAATCTCGTACATTCATGTAACAGAATTTCTCTAACTGAACCAATCGGGTGTTGCCACGCAGCAGGTTTTCAGAATCCCACGGCGCCACCATTGGTGACATTAGCATCTCTTTTGTCATCTCTCTCTCTCTCTTCTCATTTCTTACGTTACAGCCGCACACAGAAATCTGGAATCGGGACCCCTTTCCTATCTCTATCTCCCTCTCTCTCTCTCTCTCTCTCTCTCAAACGGCTTATCAACTGTCGCCGTTCGATCTCTTTCTCTCTCCGTTGAACTTCCGGCGTCGCGCGTTTTCTGGAGCCGTAGCCATGGCGAGGCAGGGAGGATAGTGTTCGAGGTCGCGGATGGAGTTTTGATGGTGTTTTGTGGTTTCTCGGAGGGAATTATATATATATATTGTTGGGCGTTGAGTATGGAGGAGAGGAGTGGGACACGGCTGAGCAGCACGTACGACACCGTATGGGAGTGCGTGATACCCTACATCCAGGAATCGCGGGACCGGGATGCGGTGTCGATGGTGTGCAAGAGGTGGTTCGAGATCGACGCCATCACGCGGAAGCACGTGACCATGGCCCTCTGCTACACCGCCTCCCCGGATCAGCTCGCCCGCCGCTTCTCTCTCCTGGAGTCGCTCAGGCTCAAGGGAAAGCCACGCGCCGCCATGTTCAACCTCATCCCCGAGGACTGGGGTGGCCATGTCACCCCCTGGGTTGAGAAGATTGGCCGCAACTTCTCCCGCCTCAAGGTTCTCCACTTCCGCCGCATGATTGTTAAGGATTCCGATCTCGAGAATCTATCCCGCACTCACGGTAAGATTCTTCAGGCTCTTAAGCTCGACAAATGCTCCGGATTCTCCACTGATGGCCTCTTGTATATTTGCCGTTCCTGCAGGTATACCCTTTCTACCTCTAACCTCTTTTTTTTTTTTTTGGTATTTTATTTTGGTATTTTTTTTTTTGGGTATAGTAAGCATAGTATTTGTTTTATTATGAGATCAATGTTTCATTCATCTCTTGTTGTCGGAATATTCTATATTTCGCTAATTAATACAGAGTATATGGAGTACTTCACTGTTGCTGTGTTGCTATGGACAGGGGTGTTGGAGATTTTACCATAATAGGGAAATGGCCCTGTAATTCAGTATATTTCTAAAAAAAGAAACAGGAAAAGCCATAGGAATTGAATGGGAATATTGGAATATGTTGCTGCGAATCATGTTTTTTTTTTTTTTTTTTTTTTTGGAAATGTGAATCATGTATTTTCTATCTTTGTTTTTGTTTTCTATTAGATGTATGTTTTCAGATTTTTGGTAATGGGACCATTTTGCCTTGTCCGGGGAACATCTATGATCTATTAGATGCATTTTACTATATGCTTGAGAATGTTGGATAGAGAATAGTTTTTTTTTATAAATATGCTGAAGTATAAGCTGCCATTCAATGGGGTTGGTGCCTTGGGATGTATAATCATGAATGCAAGTGCTTTTGCAGTTTGTAGTTCGATCTCTTCTCCATTTCTTTCTGTTATGTAAAATGAATCAGAGATTGAGGAGTTTTAAGAATATACCAGTGAAATTTTGTGTTGCTTTCCAAGGAAAATGTATTTTCTCCCTGGCAGATCTTATCTTGGTGTTTAAGAAGAGTTTTAGAGGATGTTAGTATTTAAATCACTTTAGTTGCATTGGACTGGATTTCTTTTGATCTTTCTTTTCTATTTATCGAATGACACCAAAGTTATATGTTTTGAAATCCACACATTAGATCATCGTATTCGCAATGTATTTTGCTCACTCTGCCTTGTTTTGCTCATCATAAATTTTTTGATTAGATAAATATTAGGAGTTTTGCCAGACTGATTTATGATATCTTATTTTGGTGGCTGGAAGCATCTACTAGTGGTCCAGTCCTCGCTTCTTACTGTAGATCATAGTTTGGTGTGACAGAAATTTTGAAAACTGTCAGCATCATACAAGAAAATTGTGTTGTGCTTGATTTTGCCTACTTACTCACCTGATTGTTGGGTTGATCATTTGATATCTATTTTACTCCACAACCAACCTTTGGAAGGAACTAGATAGCAAAATATTCATGTTTCTCTTTGACAAAGTATACTATGCGAGTTTTAATGGTTACAAATAATGGGGGTGATACCCTTTTGCATATAATGTCTCTTTAGTTACTATACATTTTCCACTTTTGCAGAAACCTAAGAACTTTGGTTCTTGAAGAGAGTACGGTAGTTGAGAATGATGGAGATTGGCTGCACGAGCTTGCCTTGAACAATACAGTTCTTGAGAATTTGAACTTTTACATGACAGATCTCAGCAAAGTCAAAGCTGAGGACATTGAATTGATCGCCAGAAATTGTCCTTCCCTGGCATCGATGAAAATAAGCGACTGTGATATATCTCATCTTTTTGGGTTTCTCCGATCAGCAACTGCACTGGAAGAGTTTTGTGGTGGTTCATTTGGTGAACAACCAGAACTTGGTGAAAATGGCTATAATGAGCAACTTGGAAAGTACTCTGCTCTATCTTTTCCACCAAGATTATGCTCTGTTGGTCTTACATACTTGGGGACACATGAGATGCCCATTGTCTTTCCTATTGCTTCCCGGCTTAAAAAATTGGATCTCCTATATGCGCTTCTTGACACTGAAGGTCATTGTCTCTTGCTGGAAAGGTGTCTCAACTTGGAAGTTTTAGAGGTTAAATCTCCTTTCTATCGCTTGTGTAGTTCTATGTGCATTCTTTTTTATATATAACCGCATTCTTCTGCATAGTTAAACCATTGTTTATTAGTTAAAGAAACATTAACAGCAAAACGTTCATTGGAACCTGCCTTCATAGTTCTTTCTTGTTGGATGCAAACTTTTATATAACATATGCAAGTGCATGTACTCATTTTATACGTTTGGTCTTGTTTCGAACAGACAAGAAATGTAGTTGGAGATCGAGGGTTAGAAGTTCTTGCGCGCCATTGCAAGAGATTAAAGAGGCTGCGAATTGAGCGAGGAGCTGATGAACAAGAAATGGAGGACGAAGAAGGCGCAGTTTCACAAACAGGACTAATGGCTCTGGCCCAAGGATGCCTGGAATTGGAGTACTTGGCTGTTTATGTATCAGACATCACAAATGAAGCATTGGAGTCCATTGGCACACACTCAAAGAAGCTCTGCGATTTTCGTCTGGTCCTGCTTGACCGCGAAGAAAGAATCACAGACCTGCCACTTGACAATGGCGTGAGATCTTTACTAATAGGATGTCACATGCTCAGAAGATTTGCTCTCTATCTTCGGCCCGGAGGGCTAACAGACATGGGACTGAGCTACGTTGGACAGTACAGCCCAAACGTAAGATGGATGCTGCTGGGATACGTGGGAGAATCAGACAACGGTCTCCTGGAATTCTCAAAGGGCGCTCCAAGCCTCCAAAAACTCGAAATGAGAGGGTGCTGCTTCAGTGAACGAGCGCTAGCCATGGCTGCCACTCGGCTGCAATCTCTGAGATACTTGTGGGTGCAAGGATACAGGCCATCTCCAACTCGCCAGGATCTTCTGTTGATGTCACGCCCGTTCTGGAACATTGAACTCATTCCTGCAAGACGAATTATCGCCACAAACCAGAGCGGTGGAACTGTGGTTGCAGATCATCCAGCCCACATACTCGCATATTATTCTCTTGCTGGACAGAGAAGAGACTTCCCAGAATCTGTCATCTCTTTGGAACCCAATGCCTACCTTGCTGACTGAATATACTCTGTAAATATAGATTCTTTTTTTTTTTTTTTTTTTTGAGAGAGAGAGAGAGAGAGAGAATTACAGGCCAGCTTTTCCCGTTACTTATATGTCCATAAGCCAGTTTTTCTTCCTTTTAACTTTACCCTGAAACGAGATCAAGTTTTCCCCACATTAGATTTGAGTTTTTGTTAGACTTATCACATGTAATAAACTGGCCTCCTTTAATTTTATTTGTCATTGTATAATTTAGATACTGTTGTATTTAACGCATAATGTGCAATAATTGCCAGTATTTTGTACTGTAATACTCATATGATAATATCTTTAGATGACAAGGGAAACTCAAAGTTAAGGGTGTATTTTAGGTAATTCTGCTCATGTGTAAATTGTAATAACTCACAAATTATATTAGAAAGGTAAATCATACTAAGAATATGTATTTTGCTTCTTTTGTTTGAAAAGACGGTGCATTTCTTCTTCTTCTTCTTTTGATAACTCAAAGTTTTTCGATTTTGCCAAACTATATTTTGGACCTCATGAATTTGTCCAAAATCCATGAAAAAAGATAAATTCCAAATTACCCAAATGATTCTAAGTTTATCGCTACCACTATTATTGTATGTTGCATACTTGCATTTTACCCTTTTGGGGGTATGAGTTGATTGATTTGTAAGTTTTATTTTGTAATTAGGAAAATGATATTATTTCATTTTTTATGGTCCTGTTTGATATGATTAAACATAAAAGTGTCTTTAAATATGGGCTGTCTTCTTTTAGACGAGATTAATACAATTATTGTCATTTATATAATCAAATTGCCACTAAAAGTTGCTGTACTTGAAAACTTTCATCAAATTTAATAAATAAAATATTAATTATGTATGAAAGTTGTGGTTTATATTATCCCAAACAAGCAACCCATGTCATGCATACATATTGTTTATATTTGACTTTTGTTTACAGTTGCATCCAGTTGGCAGCTCTCAAATCTAACAAAGTGATTCAAGTTCTCATCACTAAATAGATAAGGTTTTTAATTTCCAGGAGGATATTTATATATAAACAAAAAAAAAAAAACTTCACTTACAGCCACGATTATATATATATATATATATATATATATATATATATATATATATATATATATATATATATATGGGTACACTCATATAGAACATCTTCTCAGGAGAAAATAAAAAATCAATGTTAGTTGTTTGTCTGAAAAAATCTGCTTGATTTGGTTAATAGACGAATAAGATTAATTCTTAATTTTCTCCAAGATTATTGTATGATTCTTTTCATATATATACATATATATGTATATATAAATGTAAAGAGAGCTGAGGGAGATGAGTGGAAGATGGTAGGTGGCTTTATATCCTCCATATATAAATGTATAAAAGGTGTGAATTCAGTGAAAAAGTTAAGATCAGAAATGGAAAGCAAACAAGTGGAGTCTCACACACACACACACACACACACACACACACACATATATATATATATATATATATATATTGAATTGTTTTGCCATGCAAATTGCAGCAAAAGGCAATAAGTCCAGTAGGATGGGCATGGGGATGGTTTTCCATTATATATACCATATATCTCTTTTTCCATATATATATATATATATATATATATATATATATATATATGTAACCATTATATATGTATCTCCTCCATATATCTCTTTTTTTCTCAAATCTCAATACCCTTTTGACAGCTATATACATGAATAATAATTCGCTGACATCATCCATTATTATTGTGTGAATCATTCATACATATCTTATTTATACTTAACGTTGAAATGGAACACATGCTTTAATGTATCATTTTTCTTTTACTTATAGGGAAGTAAAAATAAATAGACATATATGTATCTGATTTAAAACCAAAAGAAGAAAGATACACTAATGCTTTATCAAAATAAATGGACGATATTCGCCATCCTTTCGTGGATCTTTATATGTGAATAAAAAAATTAGTGGACATATTGAGCACAATGATAATGATAGAGATCTCGAACAAATGACTATAGATCATTGACGTACATGTTCATTTATGAACACTTATTAATAATTAATCTTGCAATGTAGACTATAGTCTACAATATAATTTACTAATCATAAGATTTAGTTAACTATTCACGAGATCAATCTTTAATTCCTTTAAATGTATTTAAAAAATTAAAGAAAAAATACATATCGGTCAACTTGGTCCCATTTGATTTTTATTTTTAAAAAAAATCTTAACTACTAAAAGTGAGCATAAGTAATATATTCTAAAATCAAGAATAGAATAAAAAGGTAGAAAAAAGAGAGATGAGGAATCAAGAACTCTGGAATTTCAAATGGTGCTTTGTGAGAGATAAGCTTCAATAAGCTAATTTGGTAACATTCCCAACATCATATCACATTTCCCGACTAATCGTAAAGTTTTACTTTCTTACTCAAAAAAAGTCTGTCCAATAACTCTTTAAAATAATACACCTCTGTCGGTATGACTTTCATTCAAGCATTTAACATACAAATTATATTCCCAACCTAGTTGGTCAGAAATCTTGAAAGACACAAAGAATCAAGAAAAAAAAAGTTATGTTTTTTTTTTTTTATCAGAGAATACAAGATAATGTTTCTCTGTGCAACTGTGCATACATAAATTCTCAGATTGAATAATTGGCCAAGTATAAAGGGCTATCCACTATGAGAGAGAGAAAGGGGCTTTTAGTCTTTCACCTTTCTTTTGAATTTCTCATAGAGATGCAGCATATTCATACTAGAATTTTCTTTGATTTACGAAAAAGGATGCAGTCTATACCCGAATGTGCACTCTGAGGGCATGTGCTCCATCTCAACTAAAAGTTTCGAATCAATGACCTTTGGCATGACTCTCATACCAAATTGAAGCATGTGCTCAATCTCAACTAAAAGCCTAAGCTGACAGTTGGATTGCACATTTATGTTTATATATATTATATGCTCAACAGCTCCCACTAAAGAATCAAATTTGAAACCTTGTAGTTACCAAACCAATAACCCGACACTAGAATTTGTTATCATGCAGGCAGGGATGAAGAATATGATCAAAGAATTTCACCATGAATGATCTTTCTTCTGTTCACAGCACTTGCATGAATAATTATCTTTGATTTCTATGCATAAAAGTTTATTTGTGTTTTTTTCCCCTCATTTCTGCATGATGAGATGACATTCATTACTGTAATGAAATCCAAGGGAACTTCAATAGTGAATGGGAATGTATAGAATCATGAGTATATACAAAAATCACTTGATTATCATATCCTTTGGCCACCAAAAATCATTCATTTACCAGATTCACTGGGCAGATTAAGCATTACAGCAGGATAAAGGAACAAAAGATCCACAAGATTTAGAGTTTTTTTTTTCAGTCTGTAATAGGGGAAAAGAGAATGGTTTAGCCTCTTATCTGGTACCTGGTTGGTGGAATCTGGAATCCCAGCTTAGCGTAAGCGATCTCTGATGGATACGACATGAACTGACTACCCTGGGGCGAGCTGAAGACCGAAGCCATCAGAGCTCCATCGTCTGGGAAATTCCAGCCTAACATTTCTGGCATGCTAGCAGACCTCGAGACCAGAACAGGAACATTCTGGGATTTCTCGTCCAAGAGAGAATGTTTTGTCTCCGCGACATTGACTGTTGTGATGTCATGGATGCTAGGCCTCCTCTTGTCCTTCCCTCCTGAATGTTGCCTCAGAAAATACTTCTGGGCATGGCTCGCAACCTGAGTTGGTGTCTTGGAGATCACAAAATTACGCGAAATGTTCCTCCAGTCCCCTTTTCCATACTTCTGTAGCCCCATCAGAAACCGCCTAAACCATCAACCATAATGTCATTTATAACTCGAACCAAAAGGATATCGCAGTGCAAAACCATCAAGAATCTCAGAGCTATCAACCATTTCATTCAAAAACCAATCACAATTCACTAAATCATGCCTAAATTTCAAGATTCAAATCTCTAAATCAAGTAGATTTTCCTATGTATGGCTATCTTCAGCTTTCAGCTTATAGCTTTTCAGCTACCTTTTCAGCTAGATTTGCCAAACAGCCAGTTACCTTTTCAGCTAGATTTGCCAAACATAGCCATAAGGCAAATCAAACCTAAAACTACATATTTGCTCTTGAGATTCATGTGAAAACTATAAAAGCATAAACATTGGTCTCATGTCATATCATAATTGAACAAAAGCATTAGACTGCAAAAAACACAAAGATGCAGACATAAACGTGCAATCCAACTATCAGCTTAAGCTTTTAGATTACCTGTGCTCCTCCTCTGTCCAAGGCACGCCTTTCTTCCGTTCGTGATCACAAGACCTCCCTCGCTTCCTATGCACCTCAAATCCGCGATCATCCACCAACTGCAACGCGAAAGGGGAGGCTAAGTAACCCGGGATCGGGACCAGTCCAGCTTCGATATTACTAACATCTGCCACCAGTTCTTTGTACTGGTTCAACACATCATACACTGACTTCCCAGGGATCATATCAGCAACCTTAAACCACCTGTCAGGATTTCTCTCATCAATCATTGCAAGAGCACTCTCAAAAAGCTTGTTCTCTTCTTTAGTCCATCTTGTGCTCTTGCTCTGATGAATCAACCAGCTGGGACGTGATATCAACAAGGATTCCATACCTAAAAACTCCCCAAAACCCTCCCCTTCCTCAACCCCAAAACACTCAGTTCACCACAACTGAACCCTTCATTTCCACAGGGGAAATACTACAAGCATCTTAGGGGCCGGTGATGGAGATATATGCAAAAAGATCAGATTTTTAAAGAATTCAGAATCATATACTGGGAATAAAAACACCTTTTCCACTATAGCATAATACTGGCGTATCTAGAGATGAGAACAACTTTTTCTGGAATCAAAAGAATATTGAAAAAAAAAAAAAAAAAAAAAAAAAAAAAAAGCAACTGACTTTACTACCCAACCATGAACTCTAGAACCACCTAAATTCAACCACATAAAATAGAACTGGGAAATAAACCAAAACCCAGAAAAGTTTTCGGATAAAGGAACGAAATTAAGCGATCAAAAACTCAAATTGTTAAGACCCACTTGATGAAATTGGATGGTGCTGATAAACCCTCCAGAGTGGATCAAGAAAGGGCGGGAAGGGTGTAGAAGAAAGAGTGGGATTGGGGAGGGAGACTGGAACGGAGGGCTATCAAATCAGGTGTATAAATAAGAGTGGCAATGGAAGTTTATGAGCAAGAATGGGAGATAAAAGCATGATATGATGATGGCGGAAAAAGGTGGCTGCTTTTGATTGGAATATGGCATTTGCAATTGCAGTGCATGTTAAATGTTTCTTTGGATTTTAGCGTGACTATGGGCGATAAAATTAAGGTTATTAACTTATTATGGCTGCTTTCAGCTTCATCATCCAAATTAAGGGCAAATGAGCGTACCAAAAAAAAAATTAAGGGCAAATGAGTTGAGCCGAGCTCGAGCTCGTGAAATTTAGCTCGTTAGCTTGTCTTTTAAATTTGAATTCGAATTTGAGTTAAAATTCAATTCGAAATGGTTCAAATTTGAGCTTAAGCTCAGCTCATTAGCTTGTCTTTCAAACTTGATCTTGAGCTCAAACTAAAGTTTGACTCAAAATGGCTCGAATTTGAGTTCGAGCTAGAGTGCAATCCATACTGAATCCCTGTCAGTCTTATAATAGTAAAAATACGGAATATCAAATGCAAAACAAAAAAAAATCTTAAATTGACACGAGTTTACGTAATAATAATTTTTTATTTTTTTTTAATAATGGAATGCAACATATAACTCCTATTAAATTATGAAAGAAAAGTATATAATGAGAAAGAGATTAAGGGGTGAGTTACACTTTATTGAAAATCAATGGAACATGAATAAGCATGTCACTAAAAATTGTAAAACACAAATACACATCAGAAAATCCTTCTATATATTTCCATACTTTTAAAGAAAACAAGAAAACATTACAAACTTAAACAGTAACAATTATCAAGAACCTTCAAAGGTTTTCATGAAATTAAATTTTTGTCAATGCTTCCCCACAAACAAATCTTTGTCTCCTAACTCTTTTATTCATCAAAAGTTGTTCTTTTTTTTTTATTTTTTTTTCTTGACCTCAGCTCCCATGAATAACCAGACAGAGCTTTGGTTGTTTTCATCAACAACTAGGCAGGTCACTAGGAGGAGGCAGGATTGATTCATTAGGGCCCTTCCCATTGTCCACCACAAAAGCCATTTTGAGTCCCCATGTTGTATGCACTTCTAGATGACAGTGCAGAAACCAAACCCCTGCACTCACCATATTCCAATCAAAGTTGATTAGATAACATCAACCATAAAGATCCAAGTTTGATTGAGGTTTTGTCAATAACAAATCCATCATCATTCATCAAGCACAAAGATTCACTTTTGTTGTATATTATCTCGAAAATGACTTATTAGTCTTTTTTTATTGACGTGGGAAACCCTGCAATCACTACTTGAGGACGCGCATCGGGAAAACCCTAGTTTGTGACCCTAGTCAGGAAAGGACCACACGAAGGTAAATCAGCCTAGGTTGGCTATATCTGACCAGCTCAAATCAAGAAGGCCAACGGCTACTCCTGCTGGAAGCTGAACTTATAACTTTGTAGTTACTAAGTCAACAATCTAAAATGTGTGTGCACGTGGGAAACCCTGCAACCACTACTTGAGGATGTGCACCGGGTAAACCCTGCCTTGTGACCCTAGTAAAAAAGGACCACAAGAAGGTAAATCAGCATAGGTTGCCCAGAGCTAACCAGCTCAAATCAAGAAGGCCAATGCCCAATGGCTACTCCTGCTGGAAGTTAAACCTGTAACTTTGTAGTTACTAAGTCAACAGTCTGAAATGTGTGTGCACGTGGGCGTGTATATTATGCGTGCACTTGCATAGGGAAACGTGTTACCGGGGTTATCTGCTCTGAATCTGATGGCAGTCCATCCTGCAGTTGGTACACTGATGGTGTTCCTCTCAACAGGATCAACAAGGTTGAAATTCTTGGGGTCATTTTGGGGGTCAAAGTTGCCAACACCTTTGCCAACTACAAAGAAGTTAAACCCATGAAGATGGGTTGGATGGCTTTCTGGTGCAATCATAGAAGTGCCCTGGAACACAACCTGCACAGTGGCATTAAAACCCAGTCTGTAGACCTTTGTGCCATTCTGTGTCTGCAAGTTTGCTGGTGGAGTCCCAGTATAGTTGAAAGGAATGGCTGGCTGTCCAGGGAAATCATCAGTGAAAACCCCACTGATATTATAGTAGTGAGCCTGCAAAAGAGCAGTGGTAGGCATAACAAAACTGATATTGTTGATATCTCCAACTGCCCGGCTTCCATTCAGGCAGGTTGAGCACGGATTGATGCCAATACCAATCGCGAAAAGTAGGGAGTGATCGGTCTGCAGTGGGACATTTGCGGGGAATTTCTTCGAGTTCAGGCTTCTAAGGCCTTCCATGAAAGTGCTCGTGACAGGAGTGGCGTTTCTCGGGGGCATGGTAGCGAGGACAGTAGAGGTTAAGGCCTGTGTGCCTTTGTAGTGTAGAGTGCCCGTGGCGGTTTGGTTGTCTGTGGCTACTATCGTGTCCATGAAAGGCGAAACGGCTATCAGGTATTTGCCACCATTCTGGTCTGCTGTCAAGACTGCATTCGTCGTCTGCCCTGGACCGATGAAAATCGTGTCTGTCTTGAAAGGCTTAACATAGCTAGCATCAACCTCAACTACAGTTAGGTTGTGTCCCGCAACCTTAAAAAACAGCTCCTCGTTCACTGCTGCGCTAACAATTCGCAGCAAGTAGGTCTTGCCACTCTCCACTTCTAGAGTGTATCCTACAGATTAGTACAAGATTTGAGCTGGCGAGTGTTAAGAGTCCCACATTGATAAAATAAGAAAGAACATATGGGGTTACAAGGCCATGAGTTAGACTAACTAATTGGTTGGATTCAATCTTTTAGTACCCTTTGAAGAGCAATTTGGAGTAGGTCCAGGATGGCCATTGATAGTGTGTGCATCTGACACATTTGGTGCCATTCCTGACTGCATTGCTTGGTTGATCACAGCCTCAACATCTGATTTCCACCATTCTCCTAAAACCACAAAACGAAACGATATGGTTAACCGGTTTACTATACCTTCTTGTACTATGGTTTCTTTGCGCCTTACCTAGTACTATGACTTCTTCCTTGTCGGGTTTAGGAAAGGGATAAGGGACGCCTCGTTTAGGCAATATGACAATGGCACCATGCACTGTTGCCCTTTGCCAGTTGATATGTGCATGCCAAAGAAGGGTGCCTCTTTGTCCCGTGAGGGTGAAGTTGTAGATGAAGGTCTGGCCTGTCTGTATCGGGCATTGAGTGATGTATGCCGGCCCATCTGACCACCCGGTTCGCAGTTGTCTCACCCCATGCCTGAAAAGGAAAGCTCAGTATAGTACTATGTTAGGTTGAGGACTAAAATAGCAGAAATTAAGGTTGCTCTTAGACAGGTTTATACCAGTGGATTGAAACATTTTCTTGAACATGATTGACAACCCTCACAATGACTGTATCGTCCTCTCGGGCATACAAACTAGGCCCCGGGAACTTCCCGTTCACTACAACGATGGGCTTGCTCGAGCACATTCTTGTCGTGTTCTTGCTCACCACCTGCATACATTTGAGTACCATATTGCTCAGGAGAATTCTTAAAACAAACAAACCTTTCACTCTTTTCCCGCTTTTCCACTCAAATGTTGGGTGGAGGCCTGAAAGGCTACACCCTGCCTCTCGAAAATGTGGCTGTATTGGCATAGTGGTAAACGCTTGATCCTAACATTAAAGAGAAATTTACTTACTGTGAAGTTGTAATGTCGAACAACAGACTCAACTGGCTCGGGACAAATGAGAGCTGCAAGAGCCACTAGCACCACGCCCCGAACCCAAGAAGCCATGATTCTCGTTCTCTGTACTCTTCTCCAAGACTCGCTAGTTTCTCGAGTTTCTGCAGACTATGGTGAATGACCAAAGCAGTATTATAAAGGAGTGGCATATATGCAGTGATGCAGGGTCATTTTTACCATGTTAGGTGAGTGAAGTTTCTACTATAGCCATGCAGTTTTCACACCCCCAAAGCTTTCTTGCAAATTACACAAAGTGATCGAAAAAGTGGTTACCTGTAATCAGATGACTGCAACTCATACCTATTTTTTCTTTCATTTCAATCATCAAATATTGGGAATATGTTCACTTCTGTCATGTTTTTTCACCAAGTTTCAGAGGATTAAGGAATCTTGACAGTGTTGTTTGGAGACAAATTTGGTCAAAACAGATACAGAATGTTGCTGTCAAGTTTTCATTGTGTTGTTTAAACCACAACTAAACAGGGCCCTGATGCATAAGTCATACTAGTAAACACATCCTCATAAAGCAAAGAGCTTGGATGGCTGTGATTCGTCGATTTTTCTCGAGATTAATTAAGCAAAACCATGCTTCCAGAAGGATAAAATGTAGAGGAGATGGTGATTGAAATCTGTAATGGTCTGCAAATATGGCATTTACCAGCAACAAAACAGACATTTTGTGTGTCGAGGGACACCTGCAGTCATTACCCGAGAGTGTGCACTGGCAAACCGACTTAGATTGCTCATAACTGACTGGCTCAAACCAAGAAACCCGATAGATCACAGTTTAACTGAATGGTAAAACTTATGGAAAACGAGATAAAACCCATAGATTATATAAAGAAATGACAGAATTACAGAAAGGGGAAAGTTTAAAAAGATGCTACATTCTTAAGCAGAAGCTCCAACTGGTGCTGCAGACTTGAGCCTGGAGGAGCCATAGAGTGTCTCTTCGAACCGGATGATCTCGTTCTTGGATCCATAAGCTACTTGAGTCCTTTCATCGAGGTTATTGATCACCTTGTCGAGCACGGACTGCTTGCCATCGCTGCTGTACCCCCCGGCCTTCTCGATCAAGAATCCCAAAGGAGCCACCTCGAACAGCAGCCTCAGCTTCGCCTTTGCAGACGGGGATATCACGTTTGTGAAGATCCCCTTCTCCTTCACAATGATCTACAAATTTGAACCATATCAGAGAGCTGCAGATGGCAAATGACTATAAATGTTGAGCATATAGCCATGCAATCCAACTATCAGCTTAGGCTTTTAGTTGAGATGGAGCACATGCTTTAATTTGGTATCAGAGCCAGACCAAAGGTCATGAGTTCAAATAAAATTGCATCTTCGTTTTGAGTTATAGTTTTTGGCA